TTTCTCCCACTCCCCACGGTCTCTCTCTCTCACTCGCTCCGCACAGGCACTCCCACGGGCGCTACGTGTAAAAACTCACACCGTCGCCATGGCCAGCGCGAGGGGGAGGAGAGGGGAGCTGCAATCTGTCGCTTCGCCGTGTTAGCGCTGGGTGAGGAGGTTGGTAAAAACCTGCCACGTACGCAGCCAGGCGCCGCGGCGGCGGCGGTTTTCGAGATAGCATCTAGACCGCGCCCGCCCACGTGGAGCGCCGTACGCGTGTTCGTTAAAACCTCGGTGATAAACATGACGCTATACTTGACAGTAGCCCACGTTATCGCGTAGCGGCCAATGAGCAAGCGCGTGGTCGCTGATTGACAGGTTTCTTGTAGGAGCCACTACGTCTTAGCCTTGAGACGCGAGACCCCCAAAAATCTTTATGGGCCGTTTGGAGGTGGCCTCTAGGTGTAATACCGTCGAAGGACGGATAAGTAAATAGCTAGGAATAACCATTGTTCGGGTTTGGCATATATGACCAGCTGTGTAAAGTCGTAACGCGGGATAGACAGGATAGAATTAGGCCAATTATAGACAAGCATGTAGTACGGACTGTGGAGAGACAATAGATAGGCGTGTCTACCTATGGCAGTATATAACCGCGTGTTCGACCAGAGAGACACAGAGAGAGATATTGTAATAGTCATACAGGCATCTTGGTTAGAATCAGTGACAGACAACGTATACCTCGTAAGTCATGTGAGGTTTACTCGCGTACTACACTGTACGCATTCGCCACGTTACGGGCGGATGCTAGATTAAGTAGTGTCAATTAAAGCTGTTCATGAATACGTCATACTGTGCTTACCTATCTTTCTTGCATTCGCTCACATAGACGCTAGCAAGGGTGTACTAAACACACTCACGCGTAACCACTGATACGATCACGGGTAGAAATAGGCAGTCCTTATATAGGCGTCGATGGCGAAATGTCGCTTGGAAACCGCGTAGTTTTCGCAGAGTTCGTTTTCAGAGTGATTCCGGTTGATCTGTCTAAGAGGACAATAAGGGGGCGGCGTATTCGCTGTGGGGGCGCGGCGCACAGCGCGCATTAACACGTTCAACGCAAAACACGAGTATACTCGTTCGAACCTGCAAAACGCACGGCCGCGAAACACGAGTATACTCGTGGCAAAAAAAACCCACAATTTTTTTCACGTTTACTATGTTCTCCTATAGATGGCAGGGGCTGTACTCTTAGAAATACAACAGCGTCACTGTATAAACCCCAGTAGTAGATGAAATAATTTATACAATACTTTACTGTTGTTTGGAACGTTATTTTGGGAGTTTTTGGGACTGAGGTAATGTTTTTGGTTCATCTCGCCAAAAGGCGTTTGATCGCCGGTTGTTGTGAAGTTGTTTTGATGTCTGAGAGTTGTGTTTGATTTAATTGATCACGGGTGATTGAAAACGGGTGTTGTTTTGATGTCTGAGAGTATGTTTATATCTATATTATACTAGCCACTAATTATAAATAATTTTATAGCTAGTTAAACCTGGCAAAAACATTTTGTGTAATAAGTTACTAAGCGGCGAAAACGCGAAAATCTCAGCACAGGGCGGTAGGTGCATTGCTAACCATGCAGCGTTGAACGTGTTAACTGGGCCGCATGTCCGTCCAGAGGAGAGACCGGATACTAGAGAGGCGATGCGCAAAGGAAGCATTGATCCTGATCGCTGAGCGCGGATGTTGCGCGCAGTTTCGCGGCGAGGCGCACGTGACCGCGGGAACGTGCGATGATAATATCGGGTGCTGGCAGCTATGCATCCGTGCGCCAAATCCAAAATTCCATAGGCAGGCCAGCATGCAGGGCTCCCAGCGAACAGTGTCGAAAATTGGGGGCATTTTCGTGGGGGGTCTTCGGTGGGGGAATTTATGGGGGGAATATCGGGTTGGGGAGTTGGGGTGAATTGGCCCCTTGCGGTGGGGGGCATATGTCTAGAGGGTCATTTTTGGGGTTGGGGGAATTGGGGAGGAATTGTGGGGGTGTACTTTGGGCGATTCTTGTGTTGGGCGGATTTGGGGGGGTGATTTTGGCAGGCGGATCTTGTTGCCATTGGGCGGGGGGGGGATGGGAGAATTGTGGGGGGGTCACGCCCTTGGGGGGGGGTGTTCAGTGGGAGCGGGCATTTGGGGGTTTTGGAGTCTGTCGAAATTCTCCACTATTTGTTCTGATCATTTCGTGACAGGTAATTACTATTTTATAACTGCGTGTGTGTGTGGGTGCGCGCGTGCGTGTGAGTGTGTCACTGTGTGTGCGAGTGCGTGTGCGTGTGCGTGCGTCTGTGTGTGCGCGTGCGTGCGTGTGTGACTTTAATTGCCATGAATGCATTATCAGCTTCTAAAATAACCGTTTATCGCTTTTAATGATTCTAATATCACAAACACCAAAAATGTTTAAAACTTTCCGTCGAAAGAGAATTGTAAACTGCCAATGTTCATTCTCGCCGGCTACGTGATGTGTTCCCATTCAACCAAATGAGAATTCGGATTCTGCTAGGGAAGCCTCATCAGCATTGTCTGATTCTTAGTGAAATATCAGTTTTCTATGTTGACAATCATAAGGGCAGAAATAAGGCTAGTAAAATAATTTTTATCTCACTAATTAATTGAGCGCATTGTACGCTTTTCCTTTGTTTTCATTCACTCCTGTATTCATATTGAAAGTCTGTGCCCAGTCCTAACATGGGACGCGGCGATTTGAATGCAGTGTCCTGGTGAACTTAATTAGTCAACGGCCCCGAGATCAATGACAGTCACACTAAGGTTATCTCATCTTGTTTTTATTTTCTCCTCAAGCCTAAATTCCTAGCCCTTAAATTCCAAATACACATAATTGAATGTCGGGGTCCCTACCGGGGGATTGAAAAACAAATTCAGTGTAAATTTAATTATTCTAATATAGTTAACCTAGTGTTTTATTAATAGCAGCTAGGAGTATTTTGAACTTCTCTTCTGGTAATTTCTCATATGCTAAATAGATGTGTTTCATATTTTTCTAGTGCAACAGCGACCATATGTGATCAATGTATTCCTGCAAAAAAGTGCAATAAGTGACTGGTTGCGAGATCCAGAATACTGTCCTCACTGCCGAAGTCCGGTATTCGCATGCGATGATAAAGACCTGTAGTAACCGTAATACAGAACATGAGTAGGTAAACTACTCCGGTGCAAGTGTGATAATTTTGAAAGAAAGGATGCAAGGTAAGTAATATTAATTCTAATGTAGATAACCATGCTAAGTTTGCTAATAAATAACGGTTTGAAGAAATGGTGACAAAATAATTGAAAGCAATTAATGCCAATATTGTAAGGTTTGTTTGAAGCTAAATCATTAATACCATAGCTTTATTCAATAATTATTGCTATGGTAATCGTCATCTTAGAATCTTTTTATGTTCTTTCTGTGCAAGGAACTACCTAACGGGTTTGAGGTTCATGAGGCTCAGTATGGAAAACCTGCTGTTATGGGCTAAAGTGGAGCAATATTAATCGAAAATATTTTCATGGCATTAGACTTTGTGCAGGAAATATAGTGGAGTTTTTATCTAGTGGTCAATGAAGGAAATAGTTGCCGATGTGTAATACGCTCCACGCTAGAAAATTAATAGTGTTTCACAGAGAAAAAAAAACTTTGTAATGTGAGTCATGTCGTCCTATTGGACTTCCACTATATAAATTGGAGTTTCTTTCTAGGAATGGTTTTTCAGCCAAAAAAGCTTGGTATACCTAGAGTGTAACGACATACACTAGGGTCCACAAGAGTACGATACTGTAGCGATACATAGACAGAGCAGTCAGAGTCGACATGAATAAGTCCAAATTCGAAATGTTATTTACCCGTGATTATAATCACGTAATTATTCCAATACTTCATAACGAATATGTAATTATGAGTATGTGCAAAGCACATAACTCACTTATATCAGTAAACAGGTTAACATAATATTAAACAGACGGTGGTGTGGAGGTGGTGAATGATGGTGGGGAGGTGCAAGTGTGTGTTGGCTGTGGTGTGCTGGGTAGTGGTGTGGTGCATGAAGTTGTTGGCGATTGTGTGCTGTCAGTGGTGTTAGCGAGCCGCTGGTGTTGATAGATGATGGTGGCGAGGGTGGTAGCGGGTGGCGGGAGTGTTACGGCAAGTGCCTGGCAGTAGCGGTACGGGTATCACTAATACACCCCGCATTTTACTCATAAGCTGACGATAGTCAATGAAAATTTGAGTGGCAGCGTGCCTTAATAACAGTTAATTTGCGTGTTTATCAATTAGACCATGATATGTTGCTCATTGTTAAAAAGCCTACAGTTTTTTTATTGATTTGCAGAGTTGCTTTATGTCAAAGGGATGTGTGATCTGACCATCCATTCAATGCACTAATCAAGCGGTCTGAAAAACATGATTGTAAAAAAAAGAAGAATCTGAAAAAGGAAAGTGAAAGGTGAATCATAATTCACTTCTTGCTACTCAATTGAAAATAATTGGGCGCAGTGAGCGGTTAGGTAAGCTTAAAACTGTATGGTAGACTTTGAAATGACTTCAAAAATTAAGTACTTTTGAACAAAAATTGAAAACTGATGACTCGGCTCTTTTTTATATTATACAATTAATTACCAACTAGTTTACTTACATCCACATCACACATCTCTAAGCGAAACTTATTGTAGAATAAGTTCTGCTAAAGGGCCGATATTCCTCACAGAAACTACATAAAGTATTTTCGAGTTTTGGCAGTGTATGCTTAAATAGTGCTCCATCGAAATCACTTAAATGTTTGCTAATGTGTATCATTCCTAGCAACATCATAATGGTCCCATGCAGTTTGTGTAGTATTATGAATGCTGATGCGTGTTTCAATAAAACCAATACCTTAATCTATTGTCCAGTAAAAATCTGGTCAGCGTAGCAATTTTCTAAGATGGAAATATTTGTAATCTCTATTTCTGACAGAACAAAGAGAGATCATCAGACTACTTAACAGTTTCTGAGAAACAACTTTATGGACATCA